TTTCATTTCTTTGATATCTCACCCATTGAGAGATGGGGGTCTGTGTCCCCTCCCCTTAAATCTGGGCTCTGCGACTTTTTGACAAGTAGAGTATGTCCAAAGCGACACTGTGCCACTTTGTGGGTGCTCAGGCCATACGAAACTGGTGGCCTCTGCTTCCTGTCTCTTGGGATGCTTGCTCTGGAAACCCAGCCGTGCTGTGAGGAAGCCCAGGCAGCCCACGGTGGGGCCCAGGTTGGGGGGAACCGAGGCCTCCAGGCCTCAGCTCAGCTGAGCTCCCAGCCAACAGCCAGCAGCCAGCTCCAACTTGCCAGCCATGTGACAATCCCAGCTTGCAAATAGGTCCTCCAGCCCCCGAGGAGGCACTCCAACCGACGCCCGGTGCAGCCGAGGTGAGCCGCCTGGGGAAGCTCTGCTCAGAGTTCACGGCCAGTGAGGGTAGGGCTGACCGCCGCAGCCTCCATCACCAGGGTCAGCGTCCAGCCCTCAGCGGGAAGGAAGCAAACCACGCCCAGGCTGCTGTGATGGACAGACCGGCCGACTCCGGGCACCAGGCAGGAGCTGCCAGGGGTCCCAGAAGAAGTGGGACCCACCATGCTCCTTGTTGAAGAGCTGGTGTTTATCAAGGGCTTCCTGTGTGCCAGGTGCGCTTATAACTCATTAATTGCCCACAACAAGCCAACGTGGGTTACATCCGGGATACTGAGTAAAATGGTTCTGACTCAGTTTCCACGGTGTGGAGCAGGGCTTTCCCTCACAGCACCAAGGAATTCTCCAGACACCAGCCGGGTGTCCCACAATTCAACTCAATTCTGACACCGCCCACCCGGAGACAGCGTCGGATTCCACACGTTAAGGGTTCCGTCCTACAAGGCTGTGCCCCTGACTCTGCCTCAGATGCCGGTCACAAGCCCGGGTTGTTACCTGCGCTTCTGACAGTCTGGCTATAGATCAGAGGTTCCTGTGACCACCCCCTTCACCTCAGGTTTGATTAATTTGCTAAAGTGACTCACAGAGCCCAGAGGAACCCTTTTTACTTACTGGATTACTGGTTTATCAGACAAGGACGTGATAACGGATACAGATGAACATCCAGATGGAAGAGATGCGTAGGGTGAGGTATGGGGAATGGGCATGGTGCTTCCATGCTCTCTGAGCATGCCATTCTCTCCACATCTCCATGTGTTCACCGGCCCCGAAGCTCCCAGAATCCTGTCCTTTCGGGGTTTTATGGAGGCTTTGTTACGTACTCGTGACTGATTGAATCACTGGCCATGGGCAATGGGTTCAACTTCCAGCTCCTCTCGCCTCCCCGGAAGTGGTGGTGGGGACTGAAAATTCCAGTCCTCTAATCCCAAGGTTGGTTCTTCTGGCAGCCGGTGCCCCTCCTCAGGTGGGATCCCAAAGTCACCTCATTGACATCGCAAAAGACACTGTAGGGACCTGGAATTGGCCACCCCAAGATATGTCTCTTTGGCATCAGGATTATTTGAGGCTGATTGCTTTTGATAAACTGGGACAGGGAAGGAGGCTCTGAGGAATGGAACTTGCCCTTCCTTAGGACACATTTACATTTGTAAGGTAAATCTCTATCTGTAAAAGGTGCCTCCCTCTCTGTACCAGGAAGAAGAAAAGAGATGACCTTCTCTCCAAAAACTCTTAATCAATACCAAAGGCAAGGACTTAAATCTGCATTTTATTGTGCTAGTCTGGTAACCTCCTGTAACTGACTTCCCTCCCCTACAGTTTTGGCGTAGTCGGCAGGATGAAATTTCGCTGGCTGGACACTGCTTGCTCCTGGACTGCTGCGGCCGAGAGATCCCGGACCCCTGACGAGAGCCGGCAAGAGGTAAGAGTTCTTACCACATCAGTCTCCCGGATCTCTGCCGGCGGAGTCCAATGGAAGCAAGAGTGGTGAGTTTTTTTGCTCTTCTAAATTTAGATTAGCAGGAGAAAATGTTGGTGCCTCATAAAGCTTTGTTTAATTTTCTCTTGCTATTCTGTCTCATGTGAATTTAATTCGTTCTCCAGCCAGACGAACCCACATTTGGGGAGAGGAAATGTCCTCCTCCCCTACAACTCCTTTATTGATCTCAGGAAATTCCAAAGGTTTTAGGAACTCTGTGCCAGAAATGGGGCAAAGACCAGATCTATCTTTCTTATAAATCACAATATGCCATAGGTGACACAGCTAGCAAGCGAGTGCTGGAAGGGACTCAAAGCCAGGGCTGGCTGGCTCCCATCAGTGCCACCAAGGGGCTGGCCTCCAGCTGCGCCCGTCAGGGTAGAGAAATCCTAGGGAAGGACTTGATTACTCTGTTTTGTCATGTGTCATGTGTCCATCTTTGGGCCTGTCAGTGCCACCAGGGGGCTGGCACTCTCCAGTTGGCCCAGTTTGGATCAGGTGCCTACCCATTCACCAATCACTGTTGAGGGAGGCAGAGCGAAGTGGGGGGTTGATAACTCCCATTGGGATCACAGGCCTGTTGCCAGGTGGGCGCAGGAGGGACCCCAGGAAAGGGGTCAGCACACCTGTGGCCACGGAGGCATCGAAGTAAGCTGGCTGTCATCCCGTGGGGGTCACCACAGGGTCCCAGAACCAAAAGATCTCCATCCCTGATGTGCTGTGTGACCTCGGGCAAGGAGAAGATGAGAAGGTGCTCTGAGAACCTCAAAACGCTGCGAGATTTCATGCAAATGAATGGGGAAGGGAGGCCCGGGGACAGCGGCACAGTGACCTGGCAGGAGCCAGGCGCTCTGCCTGTGGGAGAGACAGGATCGGAGATGTGGATCTGGACTCTGCTTCCTCCCCATTTCCCCTGTATTTTCCTCCTTCCCTTTCCCTGTACCCATTGCCCCAGGGGAAGGGCGAGGTGGGGCAGCAAGCCTGCAGCCCACCTGGGGAGAGGACTCCCAGCCTGGACAGAGCTCCTGGAGGACACCTGGAGGAAGGGCGGCTCCCAGCCCTGACCAGGGAGGTGGACCCAGGGCTGGGGCAAGTGGGGAAAGGCTAAGGAGGTCGGCAGATCCTGGAGCCAAGGGGCCTCCCCCAGCCCTCCTGCTGGGCCATGGGATGCCTTTGTGTGAGTTGGAGAAAGGGGCCCCTGTAGGGGATGTCCCCACCTCCGCCCCTCCCCTGGAGCCTGGGCTAGGTGAGAGGCCACGCTGGGTTTCCACTCCCACCTCTGCTGAGTTCTTGCACAACAGGACAAGAGGGTTCAACTATACTTGTTTCCTGTGTGGGCCACGCTGCCAGAGAGCAGGGGCCTTCCTGGGGTCTGTGGGCCAGTGGACCCCAGGCAGTCTCCCCAGAAAAGCCTCCCAGGCCCCAGGGGGATGAGAAGGCCGCCAGGAGCTGCTCGGTTTCAGCCACCCCACGCTGATTTGTGAAGATGGCGTCCAGGCGGAAACCTGTGAGGATCAGTGACCGAGGACCCCCGCATCCCGCACCTAAAACAGACTCCAGAGCTGAAGTTGTTTCCTGCCGGCCTGGCAGAGGCGGCTTAGAGGCTGAAACTGCCTCTTAGAAAACAGAAAACAGTGTTTCTTGCACAACGGTGTGCAGGGAGTGAGATTCACGTCCAGTACACACCAGCGCCCTCATTCTATTCTCACATCAACCTATGAGGTAGGAAAGCCAGATGAGAAAAGTGGGACGGGGACTCAGATAGGTCAAGGAACCTGGCCAGAGTCGCACAGACCCACAGCAGTGGCACCAGGGACCACCCAATCTCTAGTTCCATCTCTCTCTCTCCGCTTCTGTCCTCTCCTCTCTGCTTGCTCTCTCTTTCACTCATTTGACAATCTTACTGAGCACCCATTACACCCCTGACACCCTGCGAGACCCTAGGCATACTGCGGGGAACAGGCTGGATGGAACAGCACAGGACCCTCTGGAGAAGCTGAAAAGTTCTGTAGTCACCAGCCGTGTCACCTAGAGCCAGGGACCCAGAGCTTGGCGTCGCTGAGGCTTAGTTTCCTCATCTGTAAAATGGGGATAAGAATGGTATCCACCCAGTGGAGTTCTTGAAAGGGTCCAATCAGGTCATCACACTCTTCGGAGGGAAGGTTCCACGCGCACGCAGGGCGGCCCTTGGGAGGGGAGTTACGCTCCGCCCGCTTGAGGGGGAGGACCTACAGTAGTTATCGTGCGTTTCTTGCGCGTGAGGGATTTGTCTGCTCTCCCCATTCATTTATTTATCCAAACATTTGTTTCTATCAGTATGTAATCACGGGTATATTTTTTAGAATTTTCCCTACTTTGGGTTATAATCTGATTCTCCCCTTCCTCGCGAATGGTTCCATCTTTGGCTACTGGGAGCTCTTTCAGTTGGCCCGTGTGTGTCTTTGACACGGTGTGTGTGGGTGTGTAAGCACGTCCTTAGTTCCTGGCTCCTACAAGGTGCTCCAGGCTCGTCTTGTGTAATCCCTGGTCGTAGAGTCAGACATTTCTCCAAGGAGCCTCGGCTCCTTTTACTGGAGAGTGGTATTCAAAACCAAGAACTGCTGAACAATGCTCCATTGCACGGATATGTTCTCTATTTATCTGTTCGTCTGTTCATGGATATTTAGGAAGTTTCCACTCTTGGCTATTATGAATAATTCTGCTGTGAGCATCTGTGTACACATTTTTGTGTAGACACGTGTGTTCATTTCTCCCGGGGGTCTACCTGGAAGAGGAACGAGTGCTGGGTCACACAGTAATTTTGTGTTTTCCTTACTGAGGAACGGCCACGCTGTTTCCCACAGTGGCTGCACCATTTTGCATTCCCACCAGCACTGGGAGAGGGGTCCGATTTCTCCGCATCCTCTCCAACACTAGTTGTTGTCTGTCTTGTTCCTATTCTAGCCGTCTTAGTGGCTGTGAGAGGGTATCTCCTTGTGGTCTTTGATTTGCAGTTGCCTAACGGTGAGTGATGTTGAGCATCTCTTCACGGGCTTGTCGACCATTCGTGTATCTTCTTTGGAGAAATGTCTGTTGAGACCCTTTTCCCGCTATTCGTTGGGCTGTCTGTCTTGATTACGGCTTTAGGGAACCCCCTTCAATTTGGGGCCTGAGGGGTGTGCCCCGCTCGCTTCACCCAAGTGCTGATCTTGATCTGCAAGAAAAGAACAAGCAGCCGTGGGCCTTGGTAATGGGCATCTCATCCACCCCAGAGGTTTTCAGTGACCGGGTGTGGGCTAACTCTGGGTGGAGACGGGTGTCCCGGTGTGAGGAGGGGAGGGGGCCAGAGGGCATGCCGCCATCCGCAGGACACTAGGAGTGGTGACCACCTGGGGCACCTGTCTTTGCACAGGCCCTGGGAGATGCAGGGAAGGTGCCATCCTGTTTGTCTCTGGGGATGCTCTCAGGGTCCCTGCAGCTGGCACAAAACAGAGGCAGAATCTGCTCCCATCACTGGCACTCACCCTCCACACCCACAGGGTGCCCGGAGGGCCTATACTTGGCTCCTCTCAAGGCCACCCCCACCAGAGTGAGATCCAAAGTGTTTGTCCCCAAACCGGTTTGCGCCCATTGTGTCCTTGTTATTGTAACCCCTACTGTAATTGTGTTATACAAGCTGCTGAAACTTGAGGGCAAACAGAAGAAGGGTAGTTTCTGTGAAAATAAACTTGAATCCCTTGGAAAAGCCTGATAAAGGCAAGTTGCTTAACAAATTTCTGCAAATGAGGTGAGTGAGACGACTGCTAAATATTGGGAGGAAACCACCAAAATCTGGAAGGGCTCTGTGCTCAGATGGCTTCTCCAGCCTCTGTAGGTTCAAGCTCCACCTTGGGAGCCATGCCTGGAAGTTGCAGGTGCTGCCTGATGGGGGTGGGTTAGGCAAGCAGCCCCAGTCTCCAGAAAAGTCTGGAATCCTCGTCAACAGATTCCAAGGACAACAGATGTCCACTTATGCAAGTTAAAGCAAACTGTTTTGCTTTGTTTTATTTATTTATTCTGAGGAAGAGTAGCCCTGAGCTAACTACTGCCAATCCCCCTCTTTTTGCTGAGGAAGACTGGCCCTGAGCTAACGTCCATGCCTATCTTCCTCTACTTCTTATACGTGGGCCGCCTGCCACAGGATGGCTTTGCCAAGTGGTGCCATGTCCGCACCTGGGATCTGAACCGGCGAACCCCAGGCCGCAGAAGCGGAACGCGCGCACTTAACCCCTGCGCCACGGGGCAGGCCGTTAAAGCAAACTGTTTAAGGCGTGCACGCGCCACTCATTATTTATGGCCCTCAAGTCCAGTTATTCTTCAATAACTGAACGTCCACGGTCCTCATTGCGTGACTCCAGGACAGCATCCTGTGCTCCAGGTGCTGTGTGGGGAGATGGAGACGAGAGACCACTGGACAGGGAGCGGAGGGAAGTGAGGTGAGGGGCAGGTTTCAATCTCACCTTGTCTCCCACCTCGTGGGACCCACGCAGCAGCCGGTGCAGGATGCGGGCAGGGTTAACGGCGCCATTTCCCAGGGGCTGGAACCGAGGCTCACAGAAGGGGCGGACTTGCAGTGTGGGGCTCACTCCATGCTTCTACAGCCCCAACAAGAAGCATCATGGGAACAAACATGGCAAAAAGAAATGAGTCCAGAGAGAGGCCTGGGGTGGGTCCCCGAGGAGCGGGCCTCCAGGATTCAGATCTTTAATAGAGCTGCGAGATGGACAAAGGAAAAGAACCCAGGTTCCAGGCCCAGCCCCTCCACCCACCGGCTGTGTGACCTTGGGCATGTCCCTTGGCTGGAGTCTGCGTCCCCATTTGCAGAGTGGCAATGGCCACACCTGTGTGATGCACACGCCCTCTGTGGGTCTGCGCTCCCTCCTCCGTGAGAGGGGCCTCGCAGGGCTAAGGTAGGGAGCACGCGGGCCAGTGGTGAGTGCTTTGGAGACAGAACTGCTGCTCAGGCTCCTGACACTCAAGGGCTTTGCCATCCGGGGTCCCGAGGCCCAGGCTGCCAGCAGAGGAATGGGCTCCACGGCCCGAGTGGAGGGGCCTGGGCTCTGGGATGCCAGGGCTTGGGGTGGCAGAATCCCACACAGTCAAGGGGCTCCTCTGTCATGGTCACGTCCCCCCTCAGGGCCTCAAATTCCTCATCTGTGCAGGGGGGACAATACCCCAGCTGGGCACCTACCGGGTGGCTGGGAGGGTCAGAGGAGCGCATTCTTCATTTCCCAAACACCAGTCCTTCGAGAGATTTGTTCCATTTGAGCCCCACCTCTTCTTTTATGCCCTTAAATTGATACACTTTTTTCCTTAAGAAAAAGAAACTTTAGGACTGGGCCAGTGGTGCACTGGTTAAGTTCACACGTTCCGCTTCGGTGGCCCGGGGTTCACCAGTTCGGATCCCGGGTGTGGACATGGCACCACATGGCAAGCCATGCTGTGGTAGGCATCCCACATAGAAAGCGGAGGAAGATGGGCACAGATGTTAGCTCAGGGCCAATCTTCCTCAGCAAAAACAGGAGGATTGGCAGCAGATGTTAGCTTGGGGCTAATCTTCCTCAAAAAAAAAAAAAGGTAACTTTCTGTCATCACAGGGAGAGAACAAGTATTACTCAAGAGATTAGAAAGCAGCCATAAAGATAAGCACACGGAAATAATGTGGTTAAATTCTAGCTGCAGGCTGTTGCCGGCCAGAGGCCTTGCTGGGGGTGGGGGGTGGGCTGAGGGGGGCAAGGTTCTCCTCTGGTTAAAAAGAATGCTCAGCCAGAGTTACAGAGACCACCAGGGGTCTGACACTGAGCGGAGGCTCTCTCCTTGACCTGATCAGAAGGCTGGGAAGAGACCTGAAAAGGCAGGAAATTTCTCCGCGTTAGTTAAGGCCACGTCCATGCAGCACTAAATGACCCCAGGACCCCCTGGCTGCAGTGGGACACACCCCACCGAGCGGAGTGGGAAAGGGCTGGTCTGGTGAACCCAAAAGCGCCTCCCATGGAGCAGTGCTGGGCTTGTGGCTGAAGGCCTCCCACAGCTGGCTGCCACCCACCCAGGCAGGTCGCCTCACAGGTGTGTTCATCCGCGTGGATTTGGACCTGGCCATTCTGGGATCTTGGGCAGTTTCTTGGAATCCGCTTAGCAGACAGCCAGTTCCCACAGTCCACTCCTGCTGGGAATGCCAGGGGCAGAGGACCCAACCGCAGCCCCCTACCCGCCCCCCCCCCGCCCCGGGTTCTGGCCCCTAGAGGCCCTGTCCTGTGTGGACGCACCCCTCTGCCTGCAAGGGGACCTGCGCTGTTGGGCATTCAGTGCACTGCACAAAGAAGCTGAAGGTCCGAGGGCCTCAGGCCCAGAAACAGGTGGTTATAGAGAGGGAGACGGGGGCGGGGTGGGGCACCAAGGAGGAGGGAAGGCCAAGTGTCTCCCGTGAGCCTGTGAGCAGCTCCCAGAGGTCACAGCCACCCCTAACCTGTCTGGGCTCCAGGCTTTAGAGCTTTAGAGCAAAGATGAAGGCAAAGGAGGAGTTCTGGAGATGGAAGAGGCGAGGGGGCATGGCTGAGGGCCCAGCTGGCCAGGGGAGAGGCCCGCGAGGTGGAGGTGCCATGCTGCCAGATATGTGAACTTGTTCAGCACAGGCTGGGCCTCTCACATTCAGGGCGGGAGAGGGCAAGCCAAGGATAGCACCAGGGGGTCTGCCCGGGCTGCTGCGTGGCCGTGGAGGAGGTGCAGGTGAGCCGTGGGCCCTGAGCCGACGTCCTAGGCCGGTGGGCAGAGAGGACTCTGCAAAGCTCCTGCCACAGCCTGTTATCCAGTGCCCCCAGGTGGACCATTTGAGAATGGCTGAAAACACTGGAAAAGGAGAAAGGAAACAGGCCCTGCCCTTACTCCCCAGATGAGGTGAAGTCACCCCGTGGAGCAGCGTCGGGCCACCCCACCTGGATCCGGCCTCTACCACTTACCTGCTCCAGGGCCTCAGGCAGACCACTCGAATTCTCAGTTTTGTCGTATGTGAAATGGGGTTCCATCCTCAGCCACACCGTTTGTTTTCAGTGGCATGGAAAATGGTGACAGCATGACAAAGCCACATGGAGACCGTGCAGGTCTCAGGAAATCTACAGAAGGCAGAAATACTAACATTGTCATCAAAGGCAGGGGACCCTGGCTCCGACTGCCATCCCCGCCACCGTCCCCTGAACAACCTGGGTAAGTTATTTTCCATCCCTTGGCCTCAGCCTCATCTGTAAAGTGGGTGAATGTGATGGTGTGAGAAGCACTCGACACTGAGAAGACCCTGTCTGCTTCCAAGTGGGGTCACACGAGGATTTAATTACAGCAAATTAATTTAAATTGAATGAGACAGTGCATGCAAAATACGTAGCCTCGGGCAGAATCTCGGTGGTAAATGCTGGTCCTACTGGGGCTCTGAGACACCTCCGGGCTCAGCTGTTCCAGCTGGGGGCCAGGGAGGCAGCACCTGGAGGTGGCACCCCGACTGAAGGCAGAGTGGGCCAGCTCCTCCCCTGCCGCCTGCCTGTGTGCCAGCCCAGACCCCAGGGCCTTCCTCACACAGAGACAAGGACATGGGCTGGCCAGCATGGACTTGAACCAAAGCCCGAGGCTCTTCATCTGAGCTCAGATGCCCACTGGGACCTGCCCTCTCTGTGCCCACTGCAAATCCACCCCCAAAGCCATACACCGGCCTGGAGGCAACCCCGCGCTCCTCTGTGTCTTATCAAGCCTGGCGGAAGGGAAGGAACACATGCTTCTCTTCTGCCCTCCTAGGTTCTGCGACCCTGGGCCTGCCTGATACCCCACTCATCCCAGGCCTGTCTCCTGTGACTTTAAACCGTGTTCACGGTGAGACACGGGTGGCCGCTGTGAAAGACGACGCGAGTGGAGCCATATTAAAATACAGCCAGGGCAGCCATTTCAGAAGAATTGCGTTTTACATCTTGTTTTCATTATCTTCCAAACTGAACCAAACCGCCAACATCCCAAGAAGTCAGAAAGGACGAGAATATCCTGTCTACAAGGACTCATGCAACTGGACTTAGCTGAGGACTGGATTGCTAACCAATCGACGGAGTACGAGGCTGGCCTTCTGCCTGATGACCGAACCTCGGCTAATCTATGAAGCGCAAACCTAGCCTGACCTCATCCAGCACCAATGAACTCTTCTTTAATACAACTCAACTCATCCTCCCTTTTTCCCGGAAAAACCCTGAGCCCGTCTCCTCGAATCGGGGCACTATTTGGGTTTCTACCTGAATTGCTCCCGAATTGCAATTCTTTGATCCCAAATAAACGCTTTGCCTCTTAGACTGGTTTCTGTTTTTGTTGACACTGCTGAGCTGGACGGGCTTCTCCTGCAGGTGAGCGGGGCTGTGGGGGCCACAGAGGCTATGTGGACTGTGGGCAAGGGCTGGGGAAGGCCTGGTGAGGGGCCAGGGGACGGGATGTCCCAGGAGCTGCAAGGTCTTAGGTGTTCAGAGCAGGCAGCACTGGGGGCATGGATAAAGAGCATGGGCCCAAAGAAAGAGACCCTAACTCTGCTATCTGCTTCTGTGTGACCCTGGGCAAGTGACTTGACCTCTCTGAGCCTTGTTTGCTGAACTGTAGAGAAACCTATCTTTTACCAAATGTATTGATTGTAGGAGAAACACCAAATCAATATCTCGATAGATCTAAAGGGGTATTTGATAAAGTCCAATGTCCATTCCTGATTTTAGAAAAAAGACTTTATTAAAATAGGAATAGATTTTATGCTTTAACATGGTAAAAAATATATATATATAAATATTTGACACCAAAAGCCAGCATTATATTCACTGACAAAACACGGGATGCATTTCCATTAACTTCTGGAACAAGGCAAGGAATTCCTGTCACTACTAATATTTACTGCTGCTCCAGAGGAGCTCAGCCAGCCATTAGACAGGACACACAAATAAGAGGGATAAGTGTTGGTTATGCAGAGGCCAAACCCCACTGCTTTTAGATTGGATTATTACCCGGAAAAGCTAAGAAAATCAGTTCAAAAAACTATTAGAAACTTTAAGCAGATTAGAAAAGATTAATATTCGCAAATCAAGTGAAACTACTCTGTGTGATCCTATGCTGGTGGATGCGTGTCATTACACATTCGTCCAAGCCCACAGAATGTACACCAAGAGTGAAGGTGGCGGACTTCGACAATGCTGCTGCGTCGATGCACGCTCAGCAACTGTAACAAATGTCCCCCTCTGGTGGGGACGTGGGTAACGGGGGAGGCTGTGCATGTGCGGGGCACAGGGTAAACGGGAACTCCTTGCACTTTCCACCCATTTTGCTGTGAACCTAAAACTGCTCTAAAAAATAAAGTCTATTAAAGAATCAATTGCCTCTGTATAGAAACGGATATATAGCAATCGATTAGAATGTGCCTCTGAAGGAAAGACCTCATTCATAATTGCATTCAAGAAAAAAAAAGAGTAAAATGCCAGGAAGTAAATCCAGCAAGAATTGTGTAAGTTCTCCGTGAAGAAAAGGGGCCTAAAGGAAGACCTGAACAGAAAGACAGGCTTTATTCTTGGAGAAGAAACGCAACATCGTGAAAACGTCTATTTTTTCTAAATGACTTATGCATTTCATAAAATCCCAACAGGATATTTTCAAAATTAATCGAATGATTCATCTAGAAGAATGAACGTGTGCAAATAGCCAGGAAGGTGCTGTAAGGGAGGAGTTATGGGGGAGCACTGACTCCATCAGCTATTAAAATGCTCGATGCTCGCAATCCTAATTATCCGAGGTAACTGGGCACTCACCATGTTCCAGGCCCTGCTCCAAGGGCTTCATAGCGACCAAACCATTTGATCTTCAGCACAGCACTCGAGGCGGTAGGCGTTAGGGGCTCAGGACATGTACCCTTTTCCTGCTGCCCCGGTCCACACCCACTGAGAGGAGGACAGCAGGTCAGGACGCAGAGGGCCACACAGCCTTCTCATTACTGACAGAAGCTAGGTGAGGGCGACGCAGAGGCAGTAGCAACAAGGAGCTTCTTAAAGCAGAACTCCATCAAGAGAAGAAAAAAACCAGCCACAGCCTGGGAGAAAACGCTTGCAAAACACCTATCTGAGAAAGAACTTGTATGCAAACTATGCAAAGAACTCTTACAACTCAACAATAAGGAAACAAACCACCCAATTAAAAAATGGGCAAAAGATCTAAACAGACACATCACCAAAGGAGATATACGGATGGCAAATAAGCATAGGAAAAGACGACCAAAAGCATGTATATCAGGCAATCGCAAATTATAACAAGATACCACTACACAACTACGAAAATCCAAAAAACTAAAATAAAAAAGCCCAAATGCTGGTGAGGATGTGGAGCAGCTGGAATTCTCATTCGTTGCTGGTGGAAATGCAAAATAGCACGGCCGCTGTGGAAGACAGTTCGGCAGTTTCTTATGAAGCTAAGCGCAGCCTTAGCACAGGATCCAGTCATCACGCGCCCTGGTACTTACCCCACTGACTTGAAAACGCATGTCCACACCGAAACCTGCACATGAATGTTTATAGTCGTTTCATTCATAATTGCCCCAAGCTGAAAGCAATCAAGATGTCCTTCAATAGGCGAATGGAAAATGGAATATATGTCCGTACGATGAAATATTATTCAGTCCTAAAAAGAAATTGGCTATCAAGCCACAAAAAGACATGGAGTAATTTTAAATGCAAATTGTTTAGTCAAAGAGGCCAGTCTGTAAACTGTGTGATTCCAACTATCTGATGTTCTGGAAAAGGCAAAACTATAGAGACACTAGAAAGATCAGCGGTTGCCCTGGACTCCGGGGCAGCGGGGAGAGGGACGAGTATGCGAAGCGCGGTGGATTTTTAGAGCAGGGGAACTGTTCTGTGATGCTGCGATGGTGGATACACGACATTTTGAATTTTTTGAAACCCATAGAACTGAGCAACAAAAAGAGGGGGCTCTAATGTAAATTATGGACTTTGGTTAATCGTGGTGTATCAGTATTAGTTCATTGATTTATTATTTTTTTTGCAAGGAAAGATTCACCCTGAGCTACCATCTGTTGCCAACCTTCCTCTTTTTTTCCCCTCCGCAAAGCCCCAGTACATGGTCGTATAGCCTAGTTGTAAGTCGTTCTAGTTCTTCTGTGTGAGCTGCCACCACTGACAGATGGGTGGTATGGTTCCATGACCAGGAAGCAGAACTGGGCGGCGGAAACAGTGAGCACCGAACTGTAACCGCTAGGCCTGCAAGGCTGGCTCTAGTTTATCAGTTTCAACAATGTGTCACCCTAATGCAAGATGTTAATAATGGAGGAAACTGTGAGCAAGGAAGAAAGAGGGTACGTGGGAACTCTGTTCTAGCAACTCAGTTTTCTGTAAATCTAAGACTGCTCCAAAAAATAAAGTCTATCAATTAATTTAAAGAGAAAAGAAAGAAAAGAGGGGGCTGGCCTCGTGGCGCAGCGGTTAAGTTTGCATGTTCTGCTTCAGCGGCCTTGGGTTCACTGGTTCGGATCCCAGTTGGGGACATGGCACTGCTGGGTAAGCCATCTGTGGTAGGCGTCCCATGTATAAACTAGAGGAAGATGGGCACGGATGTTAGCTCAGGGCCAGTCTTCCTCAGCAAAAAGAAGAGGATTGGTGGCAGATGTTAGCTCAGGGCTAATCTTCCTCAAAAAAAAAAAAGAAAGAAAGAAAGAGAAGAAAACCAACCGAGAGATGGACAGACTTTCCCCATCCAGCTGCAGGCAGCCATGAATGCCACCAGTCCCCCAGGTAGGAGGGGAGGGGTTCTCTGGGGTGAGGGTGAGCGGGGGTATCCTGGTTCAATGTCCAGTTCCTCATCCCAACTCACCAGTCAGGTCAGCCTCTCTCCTGTCCTGCGGCCAGAGATCTAAGTATTGGGGAAAATCCCTTCCAGGTGAAGGAGTTCAGAACATGCCACCCCAAAACATGCTGCTTTGGAATACTGATTATTTTGAGCTGACGGCCCCTGAGGACCAGCAGATGCAGCAAGGACTCTGCTCTCCTGTTTCTACCTACAAGCAGGTCATCAAATTTCCCATGAGAAAGGACCCTCCTGCCCCGGGAAGAGAGAGTTCTCATCACCAGAGACTGGGGGGCGGTGACGAAACGGATCTGTGCAAACAAACCTGCGAAAATAACCCTTCTCCTCCATTAGCTTCCTCCGTATGTTTCCCAGTCACTGTCCCCCCACTTACTGCCCCAGCCAAACCCCTTCGTCTGTCACTTCCCCACAATGTTTCTTTCTTTGTTGAAAAGGGTATATAAGCTTTTAAGCCCAACGGTTTCTTTGAGTCTTCATTTTTCTTCTGAAGACTCCAGTGTACACGTGAAAATATTAAATAAATGTGCATGCCTTTCTCCTGTTGGTTCATCTTATGCCAGTTAACTCTCAGGCCAGCCACAGAACCTAAAGGAGCGGCAGGAAGTTTTCCTCCCCTTCGCAGCAGGGCACCAGGGGAGGGGCGGAGGCTCCCAACCCCACAGAAAGCTCCCCTGTTATTCCTGGATGAGGAAAACTGTTCTGCCCAATGCAGTATAGAGAGCAATGCAGCATTTGAGAGTCCAGAAATGGCCCTAAGTACCAAGGTGGCATTTCCAGTGGGGGAGGGGGGAAGATGAATTGATAAACGGGGTTGTGAGGAAAGGCTCTCCCAGCCTGCTAGAGAGCTTTCCCCTCACCTGTCACACGACCTAAAATTCCCCCAGAGCCCTTCACTCTGGGGGCAGGTGTGGTCACATTGGCCTGTCTTCTGCTCCCCCAGGGGGCCCGGCGCAGGAGCAGGTTACCTGTGAGTTGGGAACTGAGGGGCCTGGTCTGAGCGGTGGGCACCACCTTGGGATTCCGGGAAGCTGGGGATGCTACTTCCTCTGCCCTGCAGCTGACCTGAGAGCAAGAGGGATTTGGGGGACCCAGGCCTGGGGGAACAGGGCCCCCAGTCTCTGACGATGGCGGCGGGTGGGGGATGCCCCGGGGGCACCAACAAGCCTGGTGATGAACCAGGTGAGGTGAGGGAGCCAAAAGGGTTGACCATACAGAAAGGGCAGGGCAGTGTGTCTGCGAGCCTGTACGCATGTGCGTGCGCACACTGAGTGCCTGTTTGCATGCGCGTAGTGGGTCGTGCGTTGAGTGTGTGCACCCTGCACGTGCATTGTGCTCGCGGTGTGCTCGTGTCATCCAGGGTGGGGAGAGGAGGAGGAAGCCGGGACGGAAAGGCCTGGTCCGCGGTGGATTCGGATCTACAGGCCGTCAGCTCTTCCGCCCGCTCCCTCCCTTGGCCCCCGGGTGTACACCCAGGAGGAGGCTCACAGCCTTCATAGACCGGCAATCGGTACCCCCAGACCGCGATGACGCTGGGGAGAGGTGTGGGGAGGCCGGGCCGGGGGAGACCCAGCCTAAGGGTCTCAGGAGGCCCCAGCTGGTCCTGAGATGAGGGGGCCGCAGGGCAGAGGTTCGCGCCAGTTGGGAGGCTCCGGCCTCCAGGGGGCGCCCCCGAGCCAGGACCCGGGATCGGTCCTGCAGTCTCTTCCATCCATAATACCCAGCCCTGGGAGGGGGTGTGTGTGAGAGTCGGTGGGGGCTTATCCACCCCGCCCCCCATCTGCGCTGCTCCGGGAGATGTTCCAGTTCATTTGGCGTCTGTTCAACGAGCCCGCGAGGGCCCTGCAGACCCCTCGGTGGGAAGGAGAAGCCGGACCCCCGAGGGCGGTGCTGTGTCCTCGGGCTGTGGGGCTCCGGGGACACTGGAGGACAGAACGAACTCTGCCCAGGGGTCGGGTGGGCGGCCTGGGAGGACAAGGAGGAGTTTAATGTGAGGTGTCCCAGGCCGAGGGCGCAGCTTGAACAAAGGCCCAGAGGTGGCAGAGCTGGGGGCGCTGGACGCACCGAGAGCCCGGGGAGGGGGAGGCCTGCGGAGACCTGCGCCGCCACCCCCGCGGATCCCATCGGGAGGCTGCGGGGCGTCCTCTGCGGCCTCGGGGCCGCGGTCTCGGTCCCCCGCCCGGCCTCGAGGTGGCAGCACCCAACCTCCGGTGCTCGCTAGGAAATCCCCATCTCCCGGTGCCACCCGATCATCCGGCTTATAACCCCCGCTGCGCTCAGCACTTCTGGCGCGGTCCCCCGGTTCTCCAGCGCCCCGGGGACTCCAGATGGTGGGATGAGGCGCCTGAATGGAGGCCGAGTTGGCATCCGCGGGGCAGGGCGTCCCCTAGGCGTCCCCACCCGATGGGTTCAATGAGGTCACGCCGGTCAGTGCTGAGGACAGAGCCGGCACAAAGGAGGTGCTTAATCAAAGGGAGCGCTTCTTCATTGCGGTCTCCCCCACAAGCCCCATAGGTGCCAGTCACTCCCCCTCCAACTTTCCCACTCTGGAACTTTCTTCCATCCCTTTCCACCGCCCTCCCTTTGCTTCCCTTTACAGAAAATCAAGAAAGACGCCCCGCCCCTCCCTTTCCGTCTTCTACTTATTAAGAACGCAATAGTCTCCCTTCAGGGTAACATTCTATTTTACGAGAAAGTTCTGACTTCATAGCACCTTAAACCCAAAGGAAGTGATCCTCGTGGAATTGCAAGCACAGCGCCAGGCTCCTCTAATCCAGCAGGGCGACAGTGGGGTCCTGAGGGTCAGCAGGTCCCAGCCGGTCTCAGCTCCTCCCCCCTCCCGCGGCTCCTCCCAGCCAGTCGGGCACAGGTGCAGGAGCCCAGGAGGGGGCAGGGGCGTTCCTGAGCCTGCGTTTCCCAGGGGACGCCCTGCAGAGCCAGAGCAGGTGAGGCCCCGGCAGATTCGCCTGGAGGATACAAGGTACTGCAGGACCTGTACCATCCCAGGCCACCCTTCCTCCCGGGCAGTGGCGGCCAGGGCCACTTTCCCCTCAAAGAAACCCTGCCCTGTTGGTGCAGAACTCCAAAGAGGGAGATATTACTGAGGGATGGGGGGCCTGCGCCAGAGGGGTCTGGCCTGGGCTTGGCTTTGACCTTGAGCTTGTTACTTACCTCCCTGAGCCTCAGTTTCCTCGTCTATGAAATGAGAATAATTACACCTATTCTGTCTCTGGCAACGTTTTTAATGCCTGCAAGCGTCAATTTTCTCATTGGTAAAATGGAGTTAATCATAGCCTTTCCTGTCTAGCTTACAGTTTTGCAATTCAATCCATCCATCCATTCGTCAAATGACAATAATAAAGAAAGGAGAGTGCTTGCCATACGTCTGGTAGTGTGCACAGAACTGAACTCCTCCATGCCTCCCCACCACTCTGGGAGGTGGACATCGGTATTACCACCATTCTACAGATGGGAAAACTGAGGCCAGTGACGCACTCCGCATCACACAGCTGAGGGTGATTCACACCCAGGCAGTCTGGTGCTCTGGCGCCTCTCTGGACACAGGCCACTCCACCAGGGATGTGTGGGCATAGCAGCCGGCAGGAAAGAGTGGTTGAATGAATGATGCTGTAAAAGTGCCCTGTGGAGAGGGTGTGGCCCACTGTGCTGACACACCAAGTCAGACTGGGGTCAGGGACATCCACACCCCACCCTGCTCGCTGACACAGATGAGCTCTGCAGGTTTTTGCACTGGAACATGAAAAGGGTGGGGTTTGCCGTGTATTTTCACCCCATCTGAGATGTAGGACTTTTATGGGTCCCCTGGGTTGTCACAGGGCAGGGTCTTTGGGACACAGCTTGGGACTCCCTGGTGTGGTTGAAAGAGCATGAATTTTATCTGCAGCGAGACATGAATTCGAATCTTGACTGTGTGGCTGCCTCCCTGAGCCTCAACAGGCTCATCTCTAGAATGGGAATGTTTATGACAGCTTAGTAAGGTGGTTCTGTGAATTGAACCCGCAAAGTGAGCTGGAACTGTGGCAGCCTGAACTCATCTGCCCGTTCCCCACATGCCCGAGGTCACGCTGGAGGAAGATTAGAGCAACCAGCCCCGAGTCCTCAGCATCCCCTATTAGACATCACAGACCATTTTCTCTGGGCAGCAATATTGCGGTGCTTGATGCCATATCAGAAAAAAAATAACTTTGCCTGGAAAATACCTTCCTGGTAACTTCCGGTCACCTCAGCTCCCCAGGCAGCCTGCTTGTTGCTGGGGTCGCTTGCTCTGCTTAATTAAGCTCTGCCTGGGAAGAAGACTTTGCAGGTAGAGAACCTGCCGAAACTGACAGAGGCTGGTGGTGGACTGCATCTCTGCAAATACTCATGTGGGTGAGCATCATGCCGGGCTCCGTCCTAGGCACCAAGACAGCCAAGATTTTTTCTTTTTAATGTTCATTCTGAGATGAATTTTATTATCAAAGAAATCAACTGCATCGTTAAAAAAATGAAATTACATAGTGGTTTATATGTTTGAGGCCAGCAAATCCTGGCTCCTTTATATTTCCTCTTAATTCTAATTAAAATCTGAACACTTCCTCTTTGGGCCCCTCATTCCTCTTGTCTTTTGTCACAGGCAGCTAAAAGAAGAGGGCTGGCATTTTCAACGTTCTGCCCGGAAGTCACTTTAACCGGCTCTATACGTATACTGGACACCTTTTCTGTTTTCCCTATCACCAAATGCAACAGTTTTGCTAAGTATTGTGGTAGAAAGACTAAAATTAAGGCCCGATATTATGTATGCCTTGACTTCCGTTGAGATTGGGAGGACCTCAAATGGCCTAAGGGCAAGTCCGCAGAACCCCAGCTCTGCTCCTGTGGATGACGTCCCCTAGCTAAACAACCCTCCTGTCACGTGGGCCAGCTACAATTCCTGTTTATCCCTGTGTAGCTGGTTTCGGTTCCCTGGCAGCCCATGGAACTACACAAACAAGCCCATCAGGGGAACCAGGCGCACCCCGCCCTCTTGATTCTCCAAAGCCTGGCTCCCACCACCCCTGGTTGTTCATAGCGCAAGCCAGGTGTGAGCCCACATGGCATGCGGTGTCCTCCTCCGCTGGGCTGGGAGTTTACGTGACTCACAAACTGCTGTCCGTCTCATCTGTCCAGTGTTGGTGTCGTGTTTCCAGCCATTCCCATCCCCTAAGGGTTACGGGAATGTCACCACTGAGATGAAGAGGGAGAGGCTAAAACAAGTGTCTGCTTTTATCTCACTTGGTTTCTGCAACGGGGTGCTGTTTTCTTCGGCCTCCCGCGGCTATGTCCTCGCCGTTCTTTAAGCTTTCACTCACAGTTTCCTCAGGGCCCTTCCTACTGCCTGGTCCCCAAACCAATGCCACACGTTTCAAGCTTTTATTTCAACAGCATCCTACTTCTACGTATCAAATTGTCTTCCGGTCCTCTACGGCTGCGTAACAAACCACCCCCAAATTTAGCAGCTGAAAACAACAGTCGTTCATTTGCTCACAGTTTGCAATTTCACGGCCTCAGCAGGATCGTCTCAGCTCCACACGGCATCGGCTGGGATAGCTGAGTGCCTGGAAGATCCACTCCCCAGATGGCTCCCTCCTGTGGCTGGGGGCTCAGCTGAGACGGTCGGTGGGCGGGGAGCCTCCCTGAGCCCCCATGTGGGCCTGTCCGGGCAGCTGCCTGGGCCTCCTCACAGCATGGCGTCTCAGCTCCAAAAGGTCAGGCCCAGAGAGGCATGCCGCCGCTTCTGCCGAGTCCTGGGCCCAGCCCAGACTCAAGGGGTTAGATGTAAGCTCCACATCTCAAGAGGAGGAGTGGCATGTGTCTACAGAGAGGGGAGGGGTGGTTCAGAGCCATCTTTGGGAGGCTAGCTACCACGCCCCTGATTTTACACGTGAGAAAACTGAGACTCAGCAGTGGGACCGGGGGCACAGGGGGCAGAGGAATAATAGAGATTTCAGCATTTATCAAGCTTTTCCCACGTGCCCAGTACTACGCTGGTTGCTCCCACTTGCAATCTAACAACAATCACCTGAGGCAGGAAGGATTATTATCCCCATTTTACAGATAAGGAAACTGAGTCACAAGCGGGTGGGAAACCTGCCCAAAGCCACATGGCGTGTAGGAGGAGCGCCCAGAATCAAAGCTGAGCAGTCTGGCTCCAGAGCCCAGCCTCTGAACCAGCAGCAGAGTCCAAAAACCATTACATGTTTTGTCTTGGGACCCGGTTTTGGCACTAACAACAAAGTGGAACTGTACCCAAGACGCTAGAGAGTTCCAAATCAAACAAAATGCGACATTCTTCATGCTTGAGCACAGTACGTTCTGGAAAATAGTGCCGGAGAATGGCCTGCATTTTCCCACAGGAGCCCTCTGTGGCAGTTTCACGGCCAGTTTCTCCCCAGTACCCATTTCTCTGTCTTATGCAGCAACAGACCTTTTAGCTGATCACCTGGCTCTCCACTTAACAACTTTTTTTCCCAGCTCCCCTTGCAACTAAGGAGATTAAGGGTTAAGAGCAATGAGGATAAGAGCAGAAGTGATGGGGTGATCTCTGAGTTGGGTCTGCTGGCTGAGTGTGGGTGCAATGGCAGGAGCTGAAGCAGCTGCTTTGAACCATGAGATGAAAGCTGAGCGTGGAGAAGTAGAGCAGGGTAGCAGGAGCTTAGGGTGTTTGGATGACTTTGGGGAGCAGCCTAATCCTTGAGCTTGACTGCCCACCTCTGGCCTCTTACCTGAGAGAGAAATAAAATTATACCTTCTTTAAGCCATTGTTAATTTTAGTGTTTGTTTCTGCATCTGAAACTGTATCATAACTCACAGGCTATCTTCGAATGGAAGGGTAATGCTTGTCCAGGGATGTCGCAGTTGGGCGGGTAGGTCTGTGGTCCCTCCCGGCCCTGGAATTCTGTGGCTTTGTGATGGGAAAGGGTTGGGCTGGGCTGAGGGCTTCCAGCAGTTTCTAGGCTCTGGACTAGATGTTGATTTTTTCCTCCTCTCCTCACGTGAACTATTTTCCCTCCACCTCAGCTCTGACCTTCTGTAACTGAACTAGGGCTGGGCTGCATTTAAAACCCAAATGGAAAGGAAGAAGCTGTCTGCAGATGAACTTTCCTCTGGGAAGTTGGGATAATTTATGATCATTTTGCAGGGGCCAGAAACTCATTTTGTGAAATGCTGTTTTTGTTTGTTTTTTCCTCTGCCAAAACGTCAGAGTCATTTAGGGCTTTTATTGACTCTGATTTTAAAAAAACAAAACACTTTATTTTCCCAGCACGGCTAAGGTGTGGACCTTCCTGCTGAAGAAATATTCAGATTTATTTGGCTTCTCTGAGGCTGTTGGGCACATGGGGACTTCCCTGGGACAGGAAACAGAATGGGGAGGCTCAGGGGTTGGCAGAGACAAAAGCCGAACTGAGATGGGGTGAGGGTTTGTCGGGGGATGGGGCCTGGAGCCCCAGGCATGGCGAGGCTCAGGCAGAGGCAGAAACGGAGGAGAGCGTGACAGGGCAGCATCAGTCGGGGACAGAGGTCTAAGGGCAGAGAAGCAAGGAGTCAGACTGGCCAAACATGGACGAAGTGGAAATTGGTTAAAGGCCAACATCAAAATGACACTGACCGTGGGGCCGACCCGGTGGCATGGTGGTTAGGTTCATGTGGTCTGCTTCGGAGGCCCGGCGCTCGCAGGTTCGGATTCTAGGTACGGCCCTAGCACCGCTTGTCAAGCCACACTGTGGCGGCATCCCACATAAAACAGGAAGATTCGCACAGACGTTAGCTCAGTGACAATCTTCCTCACACACACACACAAAAATGACACTGATCACGAATGTATCATCCTGACGTAGAAGTTGCTTTCAGATCTTACAAAGTGGAGTCAGTATCGCGCGCGCCTTCCTCAAAGGGCGAATGTGAGGCTTAAGTGAGTTAAGACACAGAAGGTACTTACGATAGCATCTGGCTGAGAATAATGGCTCGAAATGTTAGTTGCCACTGCCATTGTCACCATCTGTCATCACCATTGTCATTGCCATCATCATCCCCCCGTCCTGGCTTAAACAGACAGTTATTCCCTGGAGTCAGCCCTGGTCTCTCATGACCAAGAAAGGCTTTCTCATAAGAAAGCTTCATGCCACTGGAAACAGTGGTTGCTCAAGGCAAATAAGGAAGGCGCTTCAATTTCTGCGAAATTCAAGGAAGCTTGGGTCGGGATTTCTGTCTTTTAAGCTCAGTCGACAATGACACATATCCGTTGGATGAGTTTCAAGTGCTTTTTCCCCGAACTCGCCTCACACTTCCCATCTCCTTTTCATTATTATTTAGAATGTCAGGGGGCCCACCCAATGGCGTAGTGGTTAAGTTCATGTGCTCCATTTTGGTGGCCTGGGGTTGGCAGGTCTGTATCCTGGGCACAGATCTACACTCTGGTCATCAAGCCATGCTGTGGCAGCATCCCACATAGAAGAAACAGAAGGACTTACAACTTGGACCTATAGCTATGTACTGGGGCTTTGGGGAGAAAAAAAAGAGGAAGATTGGCAACAGATGTTAGCTTAGGGCCAATCTTCCCCACCAAAAAAAAACCCTCACAAAAACCAAGCATTAAAAAGAATAGAAAATTAATTGTGGTAAAATATACATAACATACTATTCATCCTCTGAATTGTTTTTAAGTGTAAAGTCAATAGTATTAGGCACATTCACAGTGTTGTGGCTCATGGTCACTTTTATTCTTAATATTATCTTGCAGGATCTTGGGGAACAAGTTTGTCATTTCTCCCTAAGCCTCCCCTGTCATCAGTCCCTGTTGTTGCCCCCAGACTCGAGTAGAAGGAACTCCTCCTGAATATTTTAGCTTAGAGGAGGATCACATCTCCTGACTTTAGATCAACCTGGGGTCGAAGCTGACACCCCCCCCCGCCAGCCCTGCCCCCAACCCCCAGACCCGCTCAGCAGCGTTGGGGAGCACGGCTGTAGGGACCTCATCCACAGACCAGATGGGGATCTTCCAGCACAGAGTGGGCCTTTATTAAGCTAAGATGCCCTGCCACCCAGAAACAGCTGGTCCAGTAGAATGAGGCAGGACCTACTGAACTTGAAAACTAGGCCTATAGTTGGGAGGTGACACCTGAAAAGATGGGGCTCTGTTTTAGAGGATACAGAAGATAGGCTCAGGTGACTGAGCGCATGTGCTCAGTCAGAGACCAGCATATCCCAAACAGAACACACAGCCAAGAGTCATGACCAGACTCAGTAATCACTCACGGAATTTTTGTTTTCTGTTCCTGAAATTTGGAGGGGGGACTGTCAGGGGACAGAACAGTGGTCCCACTGAATTGGGAACTGAGACTGTCACCTGGCCATGTTAGGCTCCTGGTCCACTGAACCAAAATAAATAAATTAAAAAAAAATTTTTTTCTTTTTGAGGAAGATTAGCCCTGAGCTAACTACTGCCAGTCCTCCTCTTTCTGCTGAGGAAGACTGGCCCTGAGCTAACATCCGTGCCCATCTGCCTCTACTTTACATGTGGGACGCCTACCACAGCATGGCTTGTGCCAAGCGGTGCCATGTCTGCACCTGAGATCCGAACCGGTGAACCCCGGGCCGCCGAGAAGCGGAATGTGTGCACTTATTTGCTGCACCACTGGGCCGGCCCCAATAAATAAAAATTAAAAACATAAACAGATATGTAATATATAAAATATATATTATATATTTCTAAAACAATAACATTATTGGAATAGCATAACATTCGCCCAGTGGTTTTTTTAGTATATTCAGAGCTGTTCAACCATCACCACTAATTTTAGAACATTTTCATTATTCCAAAAAGAAACTCTGTACCTATTAGTGGTCACTCCTACTTCCCCCTCCCCCCAGCGCCTGGCAACCGCTGATCTACTTTCTGTCTCTATGGACTTGACTGTTCTGGACATTTCATGTAAATGGAATCATATAGTACATGTCCTTTTCTGTCTGGTTTCTTTCACCTTGCATGTTTTCAAGGTTCATCCATGTTGTCAGTAGTTCATTCCTTTTTATCGCTGAATAATATTCCACGGTGTGAATTTATCCACTCATCAGTTGATGGATATTGGATTGTTTCCACCTTTTGGTGATTATGAATGGCACTGCTATGAACATTCGTGTACAGGCTTTTTGTGTAGGTCTATGTTTTCAATCCTCTTGGGTCTATACCTAGGAAAGGAATTTCTGGGTCATATAATTCTATGTTTCGGTTTTTGAGGAATTGCCAAGCTATTTTCCACAGTGCCCGCACTATTTCGCATTCTCACCAGCACTGTATGAAGGTTCCAAGTGCTCACATCCTCGCTGACGCTTGCCATAGCCTGTCTTTTTGGTCATAGCCATCCTAGGGAGTGTGAAGCAGTGTCTCATTGTGGCTTTGACTCACATTTCCCTAATGATTAATGATGTTGAGCATCTTTTTATGTGCTTTATGGCCATTTGTGTATCTCCTTTGGAGAAATACCTTTTGAATCCATTCCCCATTTTTTAATTGGGTTGCCCTTTTATTCTCGAGTTCTAAGAGTTCTTGATATATTCCAGATACAAGTCCCTTATCAGATACTTGATTTGCAAAGATTGGCTTCCATTCGGTGGCTTCTCCTTTCACTTTCTTGATAGCATCCTTTGAAACGCAAAGAATTTTAATTTTGATAAAGTCCAATTTTTTTTCCTTTTGTCATTCATGCTTTTTGTCTTATTTAAGAAACCATTGCCTAATCTAAAGTCATAAAGATTAATTCCTGTGTTTTCTTCTCAGTTTTATAGTCTTAGCTCTTATGTTAACATCTTTGACCCATTTTGGATCGGTTTTTGTATATGGGGTGAGGAAGGGGTCCGGCTGCATTCTTTTGCATGTGGATATCCAGTTTTCCAGCACCATATGTTGAAAATACTATTTTTTCTCATTGAATTATCTTGTAAAAAAGTCAATTGGCCTGAAGTGTAAAGGTTTATTTCTGCGCTCTTCAGCCCGCAGTGGCACTTAGTGCCAATTTCAAATTTTTCTCCACACTCTGAGAACCAGCCACGTCCCCCTCCTCAGGGACTCTGGCGCTAGCTGACGGGCGCCCCCTCCTCAGAGCCTGGGGGCTGGCTCCGAGGATCCTCCCTCCGAGCTCTGGGGGCAGCGTCTCCCCCTCAGAGGTGGGCTCCCAGCACCTGGAGCACCTCCTCCAAGCTTCCAGGTTCTGGAAACTGCCACCTGTTCCATTTGTCCCCCAGCTCTAGATGCAGTAGCTGCTTCCTGGGGAGTGGCTGTCGCTGCTGACCTCTGGGTTCTCTTTGCGGCTTTTCAATTCCTGTTTAACCAATTCCTGATCTTAAATGCTTTACGACAAAATAACTGGTAAAGTTTCTATTCTCCTGACTGGACCCTGGCGGAAACACGGAGACCACGCTTCCTTTCTCTCATTCATTCATTTAGTCAACAGTCACCTAATACCTCCGCTGTGACAGATCCCAGGCAGCGTGATGCTGAGGGGCTCATGGACGAGTCAGACATGGGTCCCACCCTGGAGGAGCTCCCAGCCCGATGGGGGAGGCGCTCTCAGACACAAACAGAGTGAGCAGTGAGAGCAGCTGCAGAGGCAAATCAGGGCCACACCTCGGAGGGCCAGGTAAGCCCTTCCTGCCTCCTTCCTCCGCCCTGTCCAGCCCCAGGGGACTGAGGGATCCTCCACCCCCCGGGGCTGCAGTGGGAGCCGGGACAGACAGGAGTTGCGTCAGCCCAGCTGGGGGTCCTCTGCCAGCCCGAGGCAGGCTTATGGGATCCAGATGCCTTGGCTGTCTCCGGCGCCTGCAGAGGCAGGGCTGAGGCCTCCCCGAAGAGCCAGGGAGGCTGCGCCAGGCGCTGGGGATGGTGGCCGACAGGGGAGGGGGCTCTGCCCCGCCTGGACGTCCCCATTCGCGAGTCAGTCTCTCGGCCTATAACGCCCTGTGGTTTCCCTGATGGGATGGACCTGACAGTGGGCTGTGCCTGAGGGTGGAGGAAGGGGTGGTCCTGTGACACGAACCCGCATTCCTCCCCTTAAGGAGTCGGCCCTTCTTTACCTGAAGGATGGCAGAGCAGCCTGCATGCCTGGGTTCAGGGTCAGACGGACCTGGCCTGCGTCCCGGCCCCGCCGCCCACTAGCTGTGGACTCGGCGAGGTCCTCAGCTTCTCAGGCATCAGTGTCCCCTCGGGAAAACAGAGATAATGTCTCCTAGAGTTCTCGAGCAGGCGAGGGAGAGGGGGCGCTTTGGGGAACATAAGAGCCCATCTCCGTGAAAGGGGTGATTCCATGACCGTGTCCTTGCCCTTGAGACTCTCCCAGCCTACAGGGAAGATGGAGGTGGTCTGTGCATGAAGGGCCTGGAGTGGACAGAGGACAGAAAGGAACCACTGGGCCAGGCTGGAGGTAGGGGTGTTTGGTGCTCAAGATTGAGCTGTTCTGGGCCATAGAGTTAGCTGTGTGACTGTGGGAATACACTTGCCCTCTCTGGGCACCCATCACCTCTTTAGCAAAATGATTATCATGATACCCACCCCAGAGGGTTGGGTGAGTGACACACGATGGGCACTCTCCCCTGGACTGTGCCTGCTGTCTGGGGATGTCACTCAGGCCTCCACTGCCTCCCAGACTTTGAGGCATGGGGTGTCCTGGAATGGCCGCCCTGTAATGGCTCTGCAGGCTACATCTGGAGACCGCCTCCCAGACCCGGAGACAGGTGGCTCCAGCCCCAGCCCCAGGCTTCAAGGGGCCTGCAGCCACATCCCAGCTCTAGCCCCCAAGGCCCCTGAAGATCCTCATCTGTTTGGGGGTTTTAGGACCAGAAACTGCATAAAGGCTCCCTGGTTCCCTGCCCCCACTTTGCAGATGGAGAAACTGAGGCTCAGGGAGGAAATGACTTGCTCAAGTCTCACAGGAGGCTCATGGCCAAGTCTGCCGGCCCCTAGAACACCGTTCTGTCTGTTACCCTGCAGAGCAGCCCTCCAACAGTGCTCCACGGAGTGTGGCTTGCACACCCCCAAGTACCTCTCACAGCTTCCTAAGGAAAGATTTGGGGTGACTATCCCAAAGGCCCCCAGGCCCTAAGACCCTGGGCCCAGCCTGGCCCTTCCCCTCCCAGCTGGTCTGGAGGCCCATGCCACCCCCTCAGCCCCTGTTGTGGGGGGGCACTGAGGTCTTTAGGGTAACATCAGAGGGGTCTGAGCAGCCCAGGGGAGGGCCTGAGGCTCATGGGGGATTCTGGGAGGGCAGGCCCTACTTGCACGAGGGTCCCTGGGCCTCCTGGGGACATGAGTTTCTCGTTTATTCAACCCTCAGCAAACATGCACGTCCTGTCCAACCCTGGACAGGGGTGGGGCCGAGAGGGGACCCCACTCTACGTT